GGGTGGGGAAGTGGGTGCGTGGGTGGGGAAGTGGGTGCGTGGGTGGGGAAGTGGGTGAGTGGGTTGGTGAATTGGTGGATGAATGGATGAGTGGATGGGTGAGTTGGTGGGTGAGTGGGTGGTAGGTGAGTGGGTGGTGGGTGGGCGTTAGCTGCAATGCTGTTCGAACAGGTACTGAGACAAGTAAGCTGACCCCACCACCCACGTGGTTCTTCTACTTAAAAGGTTAAAATACCTGAGGAACTTTCTCATGAGTTAGAACATGATACTCACCACAGCAAGCTAGGGAAGAGAGGAAAAAGAGGAAATTAAGCCACAGTCAAGGCCCCACACCGTTTTCACAATCAGAGGGATTAAACCCTCTGGGCCAGCGCCCCACGCCTCCCTCCCTGGCCTGCCCTGGCCACTGGGGGCTGCCCTGAGCCTGGGGTGGGCAGGCTGGATGGGCGAGGGTGAGTGTAGCCTGAGGGTGGAGCCTACGACTACCTGCCGCAGAGTGACATGTGGCCGATCCACCCCCAGTGGAGGAGGGACGGGGGCCTTGGCACCCGACTCCCACCAAGTGACACGTGGCCCCTCTCTCCGCTCCCCTCCTGACACACCCTCTGAAAAGATGGCCATCAGGGATGGAGGGAGGGTGTTCTCTCTATTTAAGACCGTTATCCAAAGAGTCAGCGATACTCACAGCACATTTTCATGATGATGTCCAAAATCTCACACTCCTGGGGAGGGAAGAGCCGTACACGTCGATGCCGAGCTGCCCCCTCCCTACCAGGCAGCCCCCAGCAGCCCTCTGGGACCTCCCGACTGCCCTGCCGTTACATGCTGGCTGCATCGGGGTGCATAATCACCACCCACCCTCCCCTGTGGGTCCTGACGCAGGATCAGACTCAGCTAAGGGGACACCCAGTACCCTGAATCCTGCCTGGGGAGGCCAGGCTCCATGCTGCCCCCACCTTCCCGCTAGAGGTGCAGCAGCGGCCAGGGCACAGGAGCCCCCAGATGCCCTGTATTCCCTTCACGCCTGCACACGGACTCCAGCATGGCCTGTGGCAGGGGGACGGCTGGACGGGCACGGGCTGCGTGAGCTGCAGAGGGAGTGCCTGGAGCAGCCGTGCTCTGCCTGCCCTTGCAGAGACACATGGGGACCTAGTGGGGTGACATCCCACTTCCCAGACAGTCTACATGTGCTTTCATATGCAGGGCAGGGGGTTCCCAGTCAGTGTGGGATCCCAGGATGGCTTCCAGACAACCACTTACATCGGGTCCTGGTGGTCCTGTATGTCCTGGGGGTCCCTGTTGAAGAAGGGGCCAGGGAGGGGCTCTGAGGCAAGAACCCCTACCCTGATCCCCATCGCCCCAGCCTGCTACTCCCCCAGCCTGAGGATGGCCTCTCTGTGGGGGTACATCACGGGGCCCTGGGATCCTCACATTGGACAATAGCCTGCTGGGTATGAAATTGTCAAGGAACATGGACCCTCATCCAGGGACAGGCAGATGCTCTGGCCAGGCTACCACCTGCCCGCCACCCACCCACCTGGGATCCAGAACTTCCCACAGGTCTCTGGGTGCTGCTGACCCAGGATCCACGGCTGCCTGGGTGTTACTCCTGAGGTGTGCACAGCTTTGCCCCCAGCCTCGTCCCTACCCTGGTGGCTGCCCCACTCGTCTGCTCTGACCCTTCTACTCCCCATGCTGGACCCCCTTCCCTCCCTGGATCCCCTCTCAACTGCAGCCCGCTTCCCTCCTGTCCTGCAGCGTCCAGGGTCTTCTGGAGGCCCCCCTCTGCCCCTCTCCCCAGATCTCCAGGCCTCTTCCTGCACTCCACCCCTCATCAGAGCCCTGGGTGCAGCCCCTGCCCCATCCCTCTCCCAGGGTGGGCCTAGCTGGGGACTCACCTGAGGACCTTCGGGGCCCCGGTACCCCTTGGCTCCTTTGACACCTCGGGGTGAAATATCATTGTTCTGGAACAAAATAGCACCATGTCACACCACGCCTGGACGCCCAGGGCTTCCACCCAGGAAGACCCTCTGCAGGCCCAGTCACGTGGCTGCCCCTAGCAGCACACCCGCACTGCTCACGTGAACTGCAGACCCCGCCCCTCATGTGCATGCTGGACTCGGGGTTCACGCCAGACTCGGGGTTCACGCCTCCCACTCCCTCCCCACCCCACCTCCCAGGACCAGTGCTTACATCCTCTCCTGGGTCCCCGGCATCGCCTTCATCCCCCTTGAGGCCAGGGTAGCCTTTAGTGCCCTGTGGGTGACAGAAAGCCATGCCGGTCAGTCCACTGAGCCAGGGACAGTGGCTGGAGTGCACATCCCTGAAGCATTTGACTGAACTTTCTCTGGGAGCAGGGTGGACACGGAGGGCTGTGCCATTTCCTGGGGGCAGGGCGAGGGTTTGCCAGGACCCCTGAGGGTGTTGGGGGACAGCAGAGAGTTGTGCTCAAGCTTTGGGCGATGGGGGGCTGTCTTGGGGCTCAGCCCCCTCTGTCCTAAACCATGTGCACGTGTGTGCGAATGTGCACGTGTGTGTGTGCACAGACAGTGGTGGGTGTGTACTCACATTAATCCCGGGAGGGCCCCTGTTGCCTGGATACCCCTGCAGGTGGAAAGACAGGACAGTCACACCAGGTTCTAACAGGGAGGCCAGCAAGAGAATCATGGGCATGAGGGGACCAGAGCTGGGAGGAATCCCATCAGCAGATTTTGGGGCTCACTCTCCCAGCCTACTCGAGTGCCCAGCTGGTCAAAGGGGGTGGTGTGGGCATTGCAGGGTGGGCATCGCAGGGTGGATGGCTCAAGGCACTTACAGGAAAGCCAGGGAAGCCCTCGGTGCCATTTCCGGGGGGGCCATCATCACCCTGAGGAAAGAGCAGGTAGGGTCATTGGGCACTGTGAGAATTGCCTCCCACCTGTGACACTCCAGGCCATCAAGACAGACACAACCAGCCCAGCCAGCCCACCAGGCCTGTGTCGCAGCCCCCCACATCAAGAACGTGTGCCTCGGTGGATGTCCACCTGCCAACATCTGGACACATGTTGTTCTTGGTGGACGGTCACTCACCCTGTTGCCCAACAATCCAGGGTCTCCGGGGGGGCCTGCAGGTCCTGGAGCACCTCTGGTACCCTAAAAAGAGAAGGGGGCTGCTCTGGAAAACTAAGTTGAAACCAGGGCAAGCTTCAGGCACAGAGCCTCGTCAAGTGGATAAAAGGTAGATTAAACAAAACAGAGGATCTCAACTAGGCAAAGATTAAAGGGTTTTAAGAAGGACAGTCCTTGATGCTGATGTGGATGCAGTGGGAGAAGGCCTCTGACACGCTGCATCTTTTGTCCAGTAATTCCAAATCAGGGGACTGGAAATGTGGATAGAGAGCCACAGTGGGCTACTGCAGAATTACTACGTGTTGGGAGAGTCAAACAGCCTGCCAGCCCAACAATAGGAGTTTGGAGAAACATACGGTATGACACAGGTGTGGCTATTGTAAGTTCATATCAATGATGTTTCTAAAAATCCTTAAGGTGTTAGGAAAATGCTTATAATGAGAAAAAAAATCTTTGTGAAGCCAAAATTTAAAAAATAGTATGCAAAGGAGCCGGGGGTGAGGGGGAGAAATTGGAAAGAAATAAGCACAAATGTTCATGTTTTTTATCTCTGGGTGGTAGAATTTTAGAAGATTTTAATTTTAAAATTGTGTGTTTTCCAAATTTTCTAAAACAAACATATGCTATAAAACAAAACAGAATGTGAAGAAATGTAAGCGTAACAGGGAAGCTTCCCCCAATCCTGAGGGCCCTCCCAGGAGCGTGAGATGAAATAATGGGAGTAGAGGATGCCACAGGGGGCTGGGAGCCCTGGGAGGGTGAGGAGTCAGCATCAGGCAGAGGGGACAAGGCTCAAGGGTAGGCAGGAGGCAAGGAGGGCTACTCACCTCGGGCCCTGGGGGACCCTCGTCACCTCGGTATCCTTTAGGCCCGACGGGTCCAGCCTCACCCTGGAAAGAGATGGACGCACCCTGATGGACCCTCTGAGTGCAGATGCAGCCAAGTGTGGTCAGGTCTCCCCAGTCCCTGCTCAGGGTCCCCCTGTGTCGTTCTTTGTTCTCAACATGAGGTTGGCACTTCTCAGGAGGCCTTTATTGCTGGCCTGTTCTCACAAATCGCTCCAAGTCACACATTTTTACGACATCCAGATGAACAGATTGCTCAGTTACCAGTCATGTGCCTGTGGCCTCTGCAGTCAGATAAGAGACTTCTAGTGTACTGCTGCCCTGACTAGTGTACCGCTGCCCCGACTGGTGTACCGCTGCCCCGACTAGTGTACTGCTGCCCTGCCCCGACTAGTGTGCTGCTGCCCCGACTAGTGTACCACTGCCCCGACTAGTGTACTGCTGCCCTGCCTTGACTAGTGTACCGCTGTCCTGACTAGTGTACCACTGCCCTGACTAGTGTACTGCTGCTCTGCCCCGACTAGTGTACTGCTGCCCTGCCCCGACTAGTGTACCGCTGCCCCGACTAGTGTAC